TGGATAGAAACTTGGCAGTGGTCCTCTTTGGGTTTTGTTTATAGTTTTTAATAGAACACAAAATCTCTTATGGACCCGACCAGACTTGGGTTCATATTTTGCATGAGTTATGTTTAATTTGTATGTTTTGGAAAAAACCATGGTTAGATTCTTAGAGTTGCCCTTCCTATGTATAATTAATTACTCCGTAGTATATTAAAAGGAGAATCTATGAATGAGTATACAATAAGATTACAATAAGAATGTTTTAAACCTGGTAAAATTGATTGCTTTATAAATTGGGTAAGTAATAATATGTTTTTAAATGTATTACTCCACTGTACACAGAATTTATTCCATTAAGAGAAAAAAAAAATTCTAGTGTTGTGGTTATATGAGTGACATGATAACAATACTTTTGGAAAGAAAAGAAAGTGGGATGATCATTTGCTCTACATGGCTGGATTTTAAAGATTCCTTCTAATTTTGGAGTTTTAGAAAGATCAATTAATTAATTAATTAATTAATTATTGTGGTAACAAACAGTTTCAACCTAGACTTGGTCATTTGATTCTATGACAAAAATGTCCACAGATTCATTCCTTGTGATGCCAACCAGAGTAATGCAGATGGGGAACATAGGGTAGAACGGAGCTACTTCCCTGCGCGACCAGGGGGAAGGGTGACATTGTACCAAGACGCTCATGTATTGGAGAACGATTTGCCCAAGATTGAGCTAGAACAAGGAGTGGAGTATCAACATGGGAGATGTTGGGAGGATATATGCCATGCTATATTGGAGGCACATCACTTGGTGTACATTGTAGGGTGGTCAGTTTACCATAAGGTTAAGCTGGTGCGAGAGCCTTCTAGACCGTTGCCTAATGGAGGTGACTTGAGTTTAGGGGACCTATTGAAGTACAAGTCCCAGGAAGGGGTTAGAGTGTTGTTGCTTGTTTGGGATGATAAGACTTCCCATAGTAAATTCTTCATCAACACGGTATGTATCTTATTATGAGCTTGATATGCTTAAGGTTTTGTTTTGACCAATTGATTTTTCATATGATTATTTTCCTTATTTATGTTGCAGCAAGGTGTAATGCAAACTCATGATGAAGAAACAAAAAAGTTTTTCAAGCATTCCTCTGTAATTTGTACTCTGTCACCGCGTTATGCCAGCAGTAAGCTTAGCATTATCAAGCAGCAGGCATGCTTTTGTTGTATATTGTTTATCCTTCTTTAAAAGCTTTCTGCATCTGGTTCTTGCTTCTGTGTTTACTCATTTCTGTGACATTTATTAAGAGAGAATTTTGCTGCACAAGAAGTGACAATAATTCAACTTTTTGCTTAGCATGGAGTATACTCGATCATCTCTAATATGGAGAAGTGTTTATGATACTAAAAACAAGATAATATTATTAGATTTCGAGTCATAAACCGGAACTGTTTTAGGAAACGTATATAATGTTCCTGCCATTCTGGAAAGCACATATCATTAGAGATTAGTCTATATGACCAATTCATACAAACCCTTTTTTATCTATGTAGCTTAACTTCTATTCTCTTCTTATGGAACTTATAACTAATATATGCTGTTTAATGACCTTTAATCTTCAAAACCTAGACCCAAAACCAAACAGGCTCTTGTTAAGTAATTATGTTATTTATGTTGATGATTTCAGCAAGTTCCTCTGTTTCAAATCTATCTAATATTATTTGGTATTGAGATGAGAAATTTATAAATGCTTTGTTTTCTAAGCTTTTTGTTTTCGTTTGAGTACTGGTTGTAATTGTTGCTTATGATGATGTTTTGACCTCAGGTTGTTGGTACCCTGTATACACACCATCAGAAATGTGTCATTGTGGATTCTCAAGCACCCGGGAATAACAGGAAGATAACAGCTTTTTTGGGAGGTTTAGACCTTTGTGATGGCCGGTATGATACCCCGGGGCATCGTCTCTTTCGTGACCTTGACACTGTTTTCAATGATGATTACCACAATCCTACATTTGAAGTGAGTTTCTGTCAAACAAACAAACAAACAAAGGCTTGTTTCCTTTGGAGCAGTAACAAATCAGGGTTAAATCTAAATATTTGTTTACATTTTTTGACAGGGAACAAAGGGTCCTAGGGAACCATGGCATGATCTTCACTGCAAAATCGAAGGGCCAGCAGCATATGATGTGCTTACCAACTTTGAGCAGCGATGGAGAAAAGCCACAAAATCATCTCTTAGACGGAAAATCAAGAGCATTTCTCACTGGCATGATGATGCCTTACTGAAAATAAAGCGTATATCTTGGATACTTAGCCCTGTTAATTGTGCATCCCCTAACGACCCATTACTTTGGGCTTGTGAAGAAAATGATCCAGAGGGTTGGCAAGTTCAGGTAGCTTATATAACATGTTAGCTAATATTTGTAGTGTAGGAGTTGCTAATAACTCTATCCTAGCTGATTTCTTGCTGTGCTAGTAATCAAGTCAAATATGAATATTGTCAGGCATGATTATTCGATATTTAGCCAAATTTTTTCAAGAAAAATACAACCAGGAATATTTAGAAGAATGGATGTAGTACCTAGATGTGCTACTATTCTACTAATTTTAACTTCTTATCTAAAACTGTGTTGATGCAGGTTTTTCGGTCTATAGATTCAGGTTCTGTACAAGGATTTCCAAAGGATGTTCAGGAGGCTGAGTCTCAGGTTCGTTGACAAGATGTTTTGCTTTTGCTCTAACCGTACTGTTAGGTATGTATTTTCGATAATGAAGCCTTTGGACTCAATGTACCTGTTTTAATTGCAGAACCTGGTTTGTGCCAAGAATTTGGTGATAGACAAGAGCATCCAAACAGCTTACATTGAAGCAATCAGATCTGCTCAACATTTCATTTATATAGAAAACCAGTATTTTCTTGGATCATCATATGCATGGCCAAATTACAAAAATGCTGGTATGAAAATTTCAGTTTCCCTTTCTTATAATCTTGCTATTGAAGTTGTTTAGAAAATGTGAATGTTCCTGTTGGATTCGATAGCTGGTGTGCTTAATGATATAATGTACTGGCAGGTGCTGATCATTTGATACCAATGGAGTTGGCACTGAAGGTTGTTAGCAAAATCCGAGCCAAAGAGAGATTTGCTGTTTACATTGTCATCCCTATGTGGCCTGAGGGCGTACCCACCTCTGCTTCCGTGCAAGAAATTCTTTTCTGGCAGGTAACATATCAAATCAGTCGTGGCTCAAGATAGTTATGGACTGATTCATTATAGCCTAATGTGTGCATTTCAACAGGGTGAAACCATGCAAATGATGTACAGCATAATAGCACAGGAGATTAAAGCAATGAACCTCGAGGATGCACACCCACAAGACTACTTAAATTTTTATTGTCTAGGAAATCGCGAACCAGCCCTGGTCTTGGGAGATAGTCCACTGTCATCCAAAAATGGTGAAGGGGTAACACTCTTAAGCTCTTTGATTCAAATCTACAAGTTATATTTTCTGTTATTTAACCGATATTATAATACTTCTTTACTGACTGTTAAGGGTCCATGATGTTGAAATTTTATTTGCGTGACAAAAAGTTCTTAGGCTTTGTGCAATTTTACTCAGGTTCTACCTTCACAAAAGTACCGGAGATTCATGATTTATGTCCATGCCAAGGGAATGATAGTTGATGATGAATATGTGATTTTGGGGTCAGCCAATATTAACCAGCGATCAATGGCTGGTTCAAGAGATACCGAGATAGCTATGGGTGCTTATCAACCGCATCAAACCTGGGGTAGAAAGAAGAGACATCCACTCGGCCAGGTTAGTAATCACACCAGGTCCATTTTTTTGGATTTGGGAGATGAGAGACAACATTATTCATTATGATAAAACAACCAACACCTTTGTATGTTGTAATTGTTTCAATCTTGCAGGTCTATGGGTATAGAATGTCATTATGGGCAGAGCATCTAGGAGGGCTAGACGATCTCTTTAAGGAAGCCGAAAATTTGGAGTGTGTCAGATCTGTAAACAACATAGCTGATGAAAACTGGAAGAAATTTGTAGCAGAAGATTATTCTCCATTGCAAGGGCACCTCCTTAGATATCCTCTAGATGTGGATAAGAATGGAAAGGTTCAGTCATTAAATGGACACGAATATTTCCCTGATGTTGGCGGTAAGGTGCTAGGAGCTGCTAACTCCCTTCCAGATGCACTCACTACTTGAAAGTTGAAACAATTTTTGTTGCTTAAACGTGCTTCTTCTGCATATAATACCTGTGTATAAACTACAGACTGACCTTATACAACATAACTAACACATGACAGAGGAATAGGAAATGGGGGCAGTTTTTTTGCTTTTCGTTCCCTTCTTTTTTTTCTTTTTTTTTCCCAAGTGGTTGTTCGGGTGATGGTTGAACTTGTGAAGATGAGAAGATTACTTAAATTTTAATACTTCGTGTTTGGTTCATATTTCTTAATGATGCAGTAAGAAAGATGTACACTGTATAGAAGAGAGTGTATAAATTGAGGTTGCACTCTCATTTCTACTTAGTAAGTGTGTGCCAGAAAAATTGTCACTTGCTCCTGCAGTCTGCAGATATTGGATTAAGTTCTGTTTTTGGAAAAATTCCGCAGAACTCATACAAGAAAATATTTAAATCACTTAATTTATTTTTTTTTTTTTTTTTACAATGCAATATGGACCATCGATTTAATAACTGAATACACATAATAAATCTACAATAATAAGTGGACATTGATTGGAAGAAGAAGAAAAAAAAAAAAAATCGTAGCAACAGTATCCATCCGAGATTAATTTATAGCCACAATTTTGTTGTTGCTAAGTGTTAAGTAATTATTATTTACTTTACAACAATTATTACTTCAATGACACCCAATAAATGTATCTAAATCTAACTCTAAGTTACGTTTAGAAGGATTTTTGTCAAATTTACACATAAATATTAAGCAGGCAGCATTGCTTAAGGTCACAAATTTATTGTACGATTTAACTTATTTTCGTTGCAAATCATTAGCCTCAAATTGCAAAATGTAAAATTATTAGCTCATACAACTAACTACACAAGATATAAAACAACAATTAAAAGGAAGAAAAAAGGATTACACAAAAGTGCTAATTGTACCAATTAACAAGATTTTGTTTTTTAAAATATAATAATAGCTCTACAACAAACTCATATGAATAAAAACCAATTTATTCAAATATTAGTTAATTAACGGTAACTTTTCCCACCATACCCGCACCCTGGTGAGGGGAGCAGTAAAACTTGTAAGTTCCTTTCTCAGTGAGGGTCACTTTGTAGGTCTCACCAGGTGCATTCAACAAATCCTCCTCGGACATCGATATCTTTCCGGCATCAACACCGGAAGGGATCTCGTCTTCGTCGAAGATGACGTTGTGTGGGAATCCGGCATTATTCTTGAACACGATCTCCTCGCCGGAGGCAACGCTGAAGTCACCGGGGACGAAAGCCAGTGACCCGTCATCGCCTCCGAGCAAGACGTCAAGGGCCATGGCGTTTCCGGCGAGGATTCCGGCGGCGGCGGTGGCGACCACGGCGGCGCCGATGTTCTTCAGGGATGCCTTGACTGACATTCTTGGGACGGCGGTGGTGGTGGGGATGACTTTGGCGGTTGATGCCTTGGCGGGAACAGCGGCCTTGAGGCCGGTAAAAGATGGGACAGCGACGGCGGCGGAGGAAGAGACAGTGGCCATTGTAAGAGGAATTTAGAGAGGATTTAAGGTGTAAAGAGAAAATGCAAATTGCCAAAGAGTGAAGAGAGTGAGGGTGGGATTTAATAAGAGGTGATAAAATGGAGGATATGGTGGTGTGGTTTAATTGGTTTGTGTGGTTTGAATTGGAGGGAATTTTAGTGGTTTTGGATAAATGATTTTGTGATTTGTGGGCCATTTTGGGGGTGCTATCTGCTTTTTGATTGGTTCTTGTTAGATTATATCTGATGTTGTGGAATTACTGGAATTTGGGAGGGTAAGTAAAAAAAGTAGGAAAATGTTCTATTTTTTTTTTTATATAAAAAAAAATGGAAAAAAGAAAATGTCAGTACTCATTGTCTAAGCAAATTACTCCTTAAATTTATCACAGAAATATGAAATTAACTACACCCTAAACAATAACTATTCTCTATTTGTTATTGTTAGTTATAAATAAATAAACACTAAGTCAATAAGGTAATTTTAATCAACATCTTATAGGTAGTTAAAATTATGGAGATTAAGCACTCATAGACTCATACAATCTAAATTCAAATAATCACACCATTATCATTTACTAAAATCTATTAATCTATTAACTAAAACTAAAAAAGAAGTTACTGACATCATCATTGCCCACGTGTCGCTTTCTAAATAAAAAATTTCCCGCCTTAATGTAATGATGTTGTCATCTTTTTTTTTTTTTTTTTTGGAAAATTATCAAATTTAACATTATTGAAAATTTAATTAAATATTGGAAGCTTCTACATTATAACTAAAATCTATAAATTTATCGTAGGAAATTGAAACAATTTTAAATAGCACACTAATAAATGATCTCCTACATTGAACTATGAATTAGACAACGTTGAATATATACTATATCATAATTTTGATTAAAATAAAAAATCTATTAACTAAAACTAAAACAGAAGTTACTGACATCATCATTGCCCACGTGTCGCTTTCTAAATAAAAAATTTCCCGCCTTTGATGTTGTCATCTTTTTTTTTTTTTTTGGAAAACTATCATATTTAACATTATTGAAAATTTAATTAAATATTAGAAGCTTCTACATTATAACTAAAATCTATAAATTTATCGTAGGAAATTGAAACAATTTTAAATAGCACATTAATAAATGATCTCCTACATTGAACTATGAATTAGACAACATTGAATATATACTATATCATAATTTTGATTAAAATAAAAAATAAATAAAAAATAATTCTTATTTATATTTTTGTATAATAGCGATTATTTAAAATGTACAAATTAAAAAATAGGCTTTATATATCATGCATCGCACGGGTTTCAACCTAGTTAGTCAGCAAAACATTATGGTGGGACATGGTGTAAATTAATCAAACATTTGGATGGATGAATTTGATTACGAAATGGCCTTAATACCCTAATCTAATTTATTAGCTTAATTTCCAACTAAACAAAAATCAATAATTATTGTACAATTTTTAATGGCAGTGACTTGGCCCCTAAGCACAAAGTCTTGGAGATGTCTATATGTGATTGCCCTCAAAATGCAAGGCTGATACACATTAATCTCTTAGCTATAGACGACTCTTTTGAGTATCTTAAGCCTAATCATGATATGAACATAGATCCAAACGGAGTAACGCCCTGTTCTTTTGAGCTTCTGGACAGGGCAGAGTAGAGCAGAGCAGATTTCAACATTATGATTAATAATATTATTAATGTTGTTGTTGTTGTTGTTGTTGTTGTTGTTGTTGTTATTATTATTATTATTATTATTATTATTATTATTATTATTATTATTATTATTATTATTATTATTATGTGCATATACCATTGATTTAGGCGAGTGAAGACATAAATAAATGTGTACCGTATTTAACATATGTTAATAGTATAAAGATAAAAGACAACAATTTACTTATATTCATTTCACAAAATTTTAAAATAAATGATCTAATGAGTAATAATGATTTTACTTATAAATATGTCTTAATCATATATTTTTAACCCTCAAAATAAAAATATACAAAGTACTACCTCCGGTCTAATTTACTCGCAACAAAGGGGTATTATTTGTGAGACATAAAATATTCCTTTGTTGCGAGTAAATTGGACCGGAGGTAGTACTTGAAAACCTCTTTTATTTTAATTCATAAATTGTATGGAAATATTTGAAAAATAATTCAACTCAATGAACTAACAATCAATACCCACAATAAATGTTTGTATACATTGTGATTCCAATATCAAATGTTTATAAAAAGAAATTATTATTAATGGTTATTATTATTTATTTGAAAGAATTGTTATAGTTATTAGAAATTATTAATTAATAATATTATTAAATATTACTTCTTAATAGTTTGAATTATAAAATACTAGATGAAACCCGTGCGATGCACGGTTTGTTTGATTTTTTTTTAAATAATATTTTTTTTTGTATTTATGAGCCTAAAATTTGTTATATATTTAGATAAAATTCCTAATATTAAAAGATAATATATAATATTTAATTAATTTAAACTTAAAAATCTCATTAGCCAATTTTGCTTACACGGCATTTGAATTATTTAATTCTAAAAAGAAATTAATAATCTCTTATTTAATTGGCTACTATTAAGATTTATAATCCTACGTGGCTCTCTAAAAACTCGGGAAAAACTCCCCTTATATATATATATATATACTAGATGTAAGCCCGTGCGATGCACGGTTCTAATAAATTATTTTATTTAATTTAAAATTTTGTATATTTATGAAGATCATTCATTAAATATATGGATAAAATTTCTGATATCATAAGATAATTTTTTAATTTTAACACTAAAGTTATCCTTTATCGTTTTATTAATTTTATGTGACACTTGAATTTAAAATCTCAAACCTTATTCACTAATTTTGCTTATGTGACAATTTAAATTTTTAATTTATAAAATAAATGTCAAATCTAATTTTCTTTATTGATCAAAATAAGTCTTTTGTCTATGTGTTTACATAATATACTCGTTCTGTTTAAAATGGTAGTCTCATTTATAATTGTTTAACTATTAAAAATTATGGGAAATTAGTCAGATGAGATTTAGTTTTATTCGTCTTAGTCTTTTGCCTATGTGTTTATTTTAATATACTTGATCTATTTAAAATGTAAAATTATATGGGAAATTAGTCATATGAGATTTAATTTTAAATCAAACTTTTATAATATTTTCTAGGAAAATAATAAAAATATTTGCGATAAAAAATTTGCATCCATATAGATAATTATTACTTAGTTTTTTTTTGTTTTTTAAGAGAATATAATTATTGCTTTTTTAAAATAATTTAAATTTTAATTATTCTTTATTCGTTGTTTTTACGTATGTGTCAAAATTCTTAAATATTATTCGTCACTTTTGCTTAGGTGGCGAGTGATTTTTTTAATTCTAAAATAAATTATTAATCTAATTTTTCATTGGTTGAAACTATACCTTTTTTATGTGTATAGATAATTATTACTTAGTTTTTTTTTTTTTGTTTTTTAAGAGAAGATAATTATTGGTTTTTTAAAATAATTTAAATTTTAGTTATTCTCTATTCGTTGTTTTAACGTATGTGTCAAATTTCTTAAATATTATTCGTCACTTTTGCTTAGGTGGCGAGTGATTTTTTTAATTCTAAAATAAATTATTAATCTAATTTTTCGTTGGTGAAAACTATACCTTTTCTTATGTGGCGCTCTCAATGCTCTCCAAAAATGCCTACTTTATTAAATTTTAAGAGAAGATAATTATTGGTTTTTTAAAATAATTTAAATTTTAATTATTCTCTATTCGTTGTTTTTACGTATGTGTCAAAATTCTTAAATATTATTCGTCACTTTTGCTTAGGTGGCGAGTGATTTTTTTAATTCTAAAATAAATTATTAATCTAATTTTTCATTGGTCGAAACTATACCTTTTCTTATGTGGCGCTCTCAATGCTCTCCAAAAATGCCTACTTTATATATATATATATATATATATATATATATTAGATAGATTAGATTTAATTTCATCCTTCGAAATTAGTTTTATCATTTTTTTTTGATGAGCTGAAATCAATTTTAAATTTTACTGTTTTTTAATGAACTAAAATTATTTTTACTAAACAAAATTTATTTTACAAGAACAATTGAATAGGCATATGGCCCTGTTTAGCGTCCAAAAAAAAAAACACATAGACATAGCCCTGTTTACTCGGACATTACCCAAATTAAAAACGTCACAGTTGCACAACTATAACCCTAATTGGCACTCCTCTTTCTTCTTCCTCTCGAAATCGTTCCTCTTTCCTCTCTAAATCACAGAGAAAATGGTAAATTTTTCGCAATTTCTTCTCCCCAATTTATTAAAGCAGTGTTATTTTTCATCAATTTAATTGTTCGGCTGATTCTTTTTCCCCTTTTTTATAAAATTTTGCAGGCCGATTCTCAGCGCAAGAGGTTAATCTCTCCTTAAATCTTTAATTTTTTCAAATTAATCGCTATTAAGATATTTCTTGCTGCTCTTTGATTAATTTTCGATGTATTGATTTCTGCGATCCGCCCAATTTGATGGAGTTTTATCTAATTTTAGGGTTTTGCGGTTAAGGTTGCATCAATTAGAATTGTGTTTGCATCAATATTTTAATTGTTGTTCGGATTGTGAATTAATAACTTTTGGGAATGAATTTTCCTCTTTGACTATATTTCCTTTAGATTGTCATTCAGAGTTTAGTTTGTCTGATAACTTTTTGAATGTTATATGCAATTTAGGAGAGCTATTGTTTGAATTTCTTACGAAAGCTGGTGATGGAAAGGCCACTTTGATGTGAGCAATCGTGAAGACTATTATGGAAAGGCCAGATAATTTTGAGATTATTTGTCGAGTCCGATAATTCGATTTTATATCTATCTATCTATCTAATGCTATCATCTGTGTTGGGATTAAAAAAGTACTCCTGTATAATTTAATAACAGGAAAGCTTGACTTAGACTACATTTAGCTGATTTTGTTGTGATTTTTCCTTCATTCTTGAGTGTAAGATTACAGTAGTTGATAATTGATATCAATAGGGGGAAGAAATGAGTAAAATTTAAGGGGAAAAGATGAGCAGTAGGAAATAAAAGCTAATTTATTTAAGAATATCTTCTTTTGTTAAGGATGTAAAGGCGTAAAGCATGTCACCTAAGGGCTAAGGCTATGCATCTTCTGTTTACTGTGTACAAACTTGGGAAGAAGCTTGTTTTATTCTTTTAACTTGTTATCCTTTTAATACATTGATTTTATACTAAAGGGTTCTAGACTTCTAGGTGTCCTTTACCTTGATTTGAGTATGACATAAGACATGAGGAACTGGCCTATTGATGATCTTAGAATAGCATAGTCGCATTTTTCTTGGAACTCTTGGTGGGGGGGAGGGGGGATATGTCTTTTCTGTTGGTGTATAATTACTGTATTTTGTTCCCAAGATTTTGCATTTGTATGATGCGCCAAAGTGTGGAAAAATTGGTTCAGTGCCTCTTTTTACGTCAGCTTTTGTAGCTATAGACTGAGCTGCTCAATGGTGATGTAAATTTGGTGACTTGGGATGGCTGTTCGACATGAAATCAGAAATTTGTTTAATCTTTAGGTTCATTGGGGATTTGCTAATTCTTTGATGACTTAATAACTTATTAAAGCTCCTACTTTAAGGATAATTATTACTGATACAAAATTAATCCAACTTTTTGACTAGTGATGTCTTATTGCATATGCTTTGGGTTCTGAAAAATTTGCTATTTGACTCTCTATTAGTCCATTGATGTATGGAAGTCTCCAACTTCTGTTTTCTTTCACTTGAACTTTTCTTATATGTTGGATACTGTAGGTATTCGAGATCTCCATCACCTCGGAAAGCAAGATCTAGGTCTCAGTCCAGGTCTAGATCAATGTCTCCTCCTAGATACCGGTCTCGTTCTCATTCCAGGTCAAGGTCGCCGAGCCGTGGCAGGTTAGCTTGAAGCCTTAAACTATTTTTGTTGTTTACCTTTGTGCTTGACTGCTAATTCTTTATGCAACTGGCAGGGTTGAGACGAATCCTGGAAATACACTTTTTGTTACTGGTCTCTCTTCTAGAGTTACTCAAAGAGAACTTGAGGATTTTTTTTCCAAGGAAGGAAAGGTGACTACTAGATCCATTCTAAAAATTTGATCTTCTAGAAAAGAGACTACATTTCTTTTGGCTCAGTTTAGTTTTAATTTATTTTTATATGTATGCAATATCTACTTTCTCCATTTCTTTTTACTTGTAACGCTTTGACTTTTACACTATTCACATACTCACTCTACTTTGACCGACTTTAGTGATTTATAGTTAAGGAAAAACATTGTCACGTGGGATCCTTTTATATTCGTCTCGGTTTATGCTTTCGTAATGTACAATTATATAATTTTTACTTATTGTAACATAGATATTTATGATTGAAATAATGGATTGGTAAGCGTGAAATGTGAAGTGTTGCAAGTAAAAAGAAAAGGAGGAAGTAATATATAGATGGACCTCACAAATCTGAATTTTCAAATTTGATAAGTTATTTTTCATATCAACGTCAATTTGATTAAAAGAAAAAAGCTTCGTATTTTTCTGTGTTTTTTGTTTTTTTGCTTTTCACACTTCTTACTTCACGCTTGCCAATGCAATATATATCAACACCTATATATCTAATTAGCATCAAGTAAAAATTATAAAAATGTGATATAGTAAGAAATTATATATCGATGCTAATCTAACACAATCAATTAATCAATCAATCAAAGCGTTAATCCCATAAGTGGGAGAGGCGAATCTAACACCATGACTTTAAATCATCAAAACTAGTTGAAGAAGAGTAAGTAACTACTATTTAGGATCTATATTGGAGTTTCATTTTGCATACCACAGTCCATTATTTTGATATTCTTGATTGTATTGTATTGTATTGTTTTGGTTTCAGGTAAGCTCAGTATTCTTGGTCATGGAGCCACGTACACGCATATCAAGAGGCTTTGCCTTTGTGACTATGGACACTGTTGAAGATGCGGATCGTTGTATCAAGTACCTCAATCAATCTGTTCTTGAAGGTCGCTACATCACTGTTGAGAAGGTATTTTTGCTTTTGTTGGCATATTGTATTGGAAGAGGTATATTGACCTTCTCCGTTAACTTGGAGGTTTTTGGTTACATTCAGACTACATTGCATCAGCTTTGTTGGCAGCAATCAAAGATGATGAGTTTCATCCATCTCAACTTTAGACAAACAGCTTGATCAAACGGCCAGCTAAACATATATCTCATGCATCTGATCAACTAAACATAGCAAATATTGCCCAACAACTTAGAACAACCGCATTCACCATCAACTCAACTAATCAACGGAAATTTTCAACATTCAACATTTCTAGACAAGCATTTATGGTACTTGATACCATATGTTGGTATTGCTATTCTCGTATAGCTTAAGGCTTGTTTGGTTGGTTGCTGTTCCAATATAACTGAAATACTTTCTTTTGCCTTGACGTATATCAATTAGCTGATTTGTCTGCCATTTTATGTGTCATATTTGTGTATATTTATGCCATAGAACAGATTTTGAAAACTTAAACCTTGTTACATCAGCAGCTCTTCCTGTCTTGATAGTTGAGCACTCTGGGATTCTGTACCTCACTATCTACCTTTTATTTTTCTTTCTTCAAGGCTTGGAGCTCCGTACATTTGTCCTTGGTTTGGACTTGTCGTCCAGTTTTTATTTTCCTTGCATTTTATTCCCCTCTCTCCTGACTACCAATGGTTATGTTTCTCTGACTTGTTAGAAGTCTTTGTCTTTTTCTTGGTTATACCATTTTTTTTTTCTTTTCGTATTAGTTTCTTCTGGGAATTATGCTTGAGTATCTATTACTATGTGCATCTGTGGTGTTGAGTCCCATTGGTGTTATACAGTAATTTTTGAGTTTTTGTTTATAGATCTTAAGTGACTAATAGTTTAGAGATTACCTGCTTTATTTTTATGTTAATTTTAGTTGTACTTCCGATTTAGTGTTTTTAGTAAATGCAGCAGGGAGTGTGAATTGGCAGTAGTTATTTTCATAGGATTACTCCAAATTTTAGAAGTTTACTTCTCCAAGAACTTAATAGTTAGCTGCCAATTATGTCAGTTTAAACTTGTTTCAATGGCTTTGGAATCTGCTAAGCATTAAGTTAGATCACCAGTGGTACTCACTTGTTATAGAAAGGAGGTTAGGCCGTTAGGGGCAGTCAGGATTTTGCATAATAGTATGCTGGATATTGTATAAATTGGTTTTGAGGAAGGCAGGAGTGGATTTCAGCAAAGAAGGAAGTTAGAAAGACTATTGAAGTAGATAGGTAGTTAATGTTATAAATTGTTGAATATGCTCGGAGGGAGGATATCCTCCCTTGAAGTGTGCTTAGCTTGAAAAGAGTAATTAGTTAGATTACACTAAATATATAATACTACCTCGGTTACATATTATTTTCGATTTGACGTAAAGTTGAGAAGAAAAATTTCTAATTGTTGCAAATAATATGAAACGGAGGTAGTACAAGTTTATTTATCTTCTGGTACAAGCTTACATTTCTTGAAGAAATACATTATATATTTATATATACAATGTGCTTTATTTCCCTTTTAATGCTCAGTGCATAGTGCATCGAGAGGCTTGCCTAGGCATTGGGGCACAAGGTGATATGGGTCATGTGGCTTTTGGTTTAGGCAGTTTTAGTTAGGCACACAAACTTAATGAGGCGCACTGCACTTAAGTGCGTCTAAGACTCTAAGGTGTAACCCATATTGCTTATGGCACTTTAAGCCTATGTATACATTTGGTTATTTTTGCTCTGGAATCAGAATATGGTATGTGGTTGTTGTACATTTGCTTCCTATGTCTCATTGTATACCCATAGGTTGCCTTTCTCTGTTCTGCTTTCAACTGCTTTCTTCCTGTGCTGTATGATTTTAGTGACTATTTGAGTAACATAGAGTGCTTCTTTTCTGCTTATATGCCATATACTTGACACTGTTTTAGAATTTGCATTGAGAATAGTTTGAGTGAGATGTTTGTCTTGTTTTTCAGTCAAGGAGAAAACGACCAAGGACACCGACACCCGGACAGTATCTTGGCTTAGGTAAAATCTGGGCTCTCTCTCTCTTTTTTTTTTTTTTTTTTTTTTTTCCTTTTTCTTTTCTTGCAGATCTTTTTATGTATTGACCCAGCTACATCTTTTCCATTTTATATTTGAATGATGAATGATGTAATTTTACAGGACATCGACGTAAATTCCGTGGTGGGTATGGTGGCCGTGATGACTATGATCATAGGAGGTCACCAAGACGTTCACCTTATCGAGGTAGTCGAGGTTATTCTCCTCGTCGCTCCCCTTATGCTGAAAGGTCAAGGAGGTACAGGTCAAGGTCCTACTCTCCTTATGGAAGCCCAGACAGAGGATATGGGCGTCGCTCTGGTGCCTATGGCAGATAAGAGAATTGTTGTAAGCTATTTGGAGATGAATGGGGACTATAATACTCTCTTGTCAAACCATGTTAGTGTCTAGAATGTGTATTTTGGTGCCTTTTATAGTTCTAGCTGTTCAACCCTTGGTTCTGACTTTGTAGCGACGCTTTTTGCAACATGCTCTTTGTTAAGATCGTTTAAAGGTTGCACTATATGACTCAAGTATTTACAGAGATATGTATCTGCTTCTTAGTGAACTCAAGGCTGAATTCTCTTGCTGTTTGGAGGTTTCTGGTGTTGGTTACATGCTTTATTTTTTATTTTACGGTGGCTTGGTAGTGGTTAGTATTCAGCAGGGTATGTTTTTTCTCCAAAATATAAATAATTTTGCAGTAAATATCTTTTATAATGTCCACTGATTTAAACCTTTTGATCTTCAAAACTCAGTCTTGTCACAAAAATTGTACGTAGTAATTTTGATTGCCTAATTAAACTCTGTTGAAACTTGAAACTCTCAATTATTAATAGTTTTTGTGTATGCAATTGTATTATTTTGTTCCAATCATATGGTTAATAGATGATTTGAGCGAAATTAAAGATTGCACTTAGTAAATTTCAATTGTGATGCCTTTGATTCGTATCAAATACTCCCAATAGTTCTATTTCTATATACTACCTCCGGATCGTATTATATGCAACTTTGGAATTTTTTATATCTCATAAATAATACCCCAAAGTTGCATATAATATGATCCGGAGGTAGTATAAAGATGTGCATCACTTTTGACTTGCATTATTCACGTACTAAATTTACTTTGATTTAATGCATAAAAAACTAATGTTGCTATGAAATTTTTTGTAAAATTAATTATAAAGTATATTTTAATTATATTAAATTTTTATAATTTAAAATAATAAATAATTAGAGATAAATGGATAAAGTTGTACATCAGTGATGCCTATAGTGGGGCTCAAGTTCAGTTAAAAATATCTTGGTCGAAAATACAATGGATTTATGCATAATACATAAACATGGGAACGGGCTGTGCCGGTACGCGGGCGGCACAGCCCGGCACGGCACGACGGCCCACCTGTGGGCCGTAGGCCGTGCCGTGAACACTTTTTTGGAAATCGGCACGGGCAGGGCACGTAGCACGGCGGGCGGCACGGTGGCCGGCACGTGGGCCGGCACGCTGGCACGACCCGCCGGCACGGCACGAGGCACGGCCGGGTACGGCACGGCACGACACTATTGTACGATTTTTAATTATCATTAATTATTTTGTATTATTAAATTATCGTACATTCGTACCGGCTACCGTCATATAATAAAATAAGTTATTCTTCAATTTTTTGTGTTTTTGGATTATCGTACTCGTATTTTTTTTATTATATGCATTGTTGTTTTTTGCTAAATTAATAAAATTGTTTTTATTTATTTATATAAACTTAAACATAATTATTAATTAGATAAATAATTTATATAACCTAAATTAAAATAAAGTTGTTCAAAAAATATAAACAAATTATATTAACATAAACATTAACATAAATTAATCACATATATTAAGTTGTACTACAAAAAATATATATCGTTTAATTCGATTTTTTTTTTCATTTATTCAAAAAAAAAATTAAAAAGGGTGACACGATTTAGCCCGCGGCTCGGCACGGCACGGCCTGCAAGGCACGTAGGCTGTGCCGTGACATGGGCTGGGGTGTGCCAATTTCAGGCACGGCACGGCACGGCCCGCCGCGGAGCCGGCACGGCACGGCACGGCCCGTTGCCCATGTTTTACATCTATATGAAAAATCTTGACAACCACCATTGATTTTTACTACGCATTTGCTTCAATATAATATAATATCTGGAAACAAAAATTTAGAATTCCACTCTCAAGACAAATTGTTCTTGTAAAGCCATATATGTGATAAGAAGTGAAAGTTACTATGGTGTCTAGATAGATCTTAATTAAAGATCAATAAATGAGATGGGCCTTAATAAGATTATGGAGTACTAATTTTAAGAGTCAACTACGTTGAAGATATGGACAATTTATCTAGGAAATCCAGTCACCTTATGGTCTAATTCACATTGTTCAATTTAATTAATAGAACACAAGTTACTAGTACTTCCTCCGTTTTTAAATATTTGCTCCACTTTCCTTTTTCGGCCGTTTTTAAATACTTGCTTCATTTCCTTTTTTGGAAAGCTTTTACAATATTTAAATCATTTCTCATACTTAGTGGATCCAACATAATACTCTCTTTCATCCTATTCTTCCACTACTTTGGTTTTTTACAATTTTTTATTCTTTCAACTACCCTAATACCTCCATATTTTATTACTTTCTCCAATTTCTCCTAAAAGTCCGCGCATGGAGAAATGGAGCAAGTATTTAAAAACGGAGGGAGTAGTTTTTAACTGAACTGGATTTAATTAAACTAAACTTAAATTCCTAAAAAAAAATGAAATTAATTAAGTTGAACCGAAATGTCATGTTTAATTGAATAGAGTTGAGCTGATACGAATTAAACTAAACTTAATAGAATTATTTTGAACTGAATTAAACTGAACTAAAAATAAGTGCAAAAGAATATTTGAATTAAGAAGATGGTTAGAGAAATGGGAAATTGTACTCCAACGTTTGAATAAAACGAGTACAAATGAAACAGAGATCGAACACAAGTGTGTGGGAAGTGTGTAAGATGTAATAAATGGAGAAAAAACAGTAAAGGATGAATTTATTTTGGAGGGAATCTTTGTCTGACTGCAAAAGACTTACAGTTACATTTCAGTCGCCCTCCTTCATTTTCTTATTTTTTTTAGGGACTCTCCAGATCCCCCCTCTCCCTTGTCAACCATCTTATTTATTTCTTCTTCCAACCTTTTTTATATTTTCATTTTTGTTTTGTAAATAAAAAAAAAAAAACTGTTTATTTATTAATTTATTATTACCCAACGCTCCTCCATTCCCCTCATTTACTCTTCTCAACAACTTCTACAATATTCTCCACTCCATAAGTTATACGGAGGATTTCAAATTCCAAGCAATAATCACTTTTTGTGTTCTTACTTCAATTCTTCTCTTTAGATTATTTGTCCTCACAAATCACAACGTCTTAATTTCACTTATTTGAACTTAGTTTAAGTTGTGCATATGTTATACACTTATTTGAACTTATAAGCAGTAAGCTTAACTTCCTGCAATATAATAATTTATCGTATTGTAAGCCCACGGCACAACCAGGGTTATAATAAAATAAGGTTATAGGTTATTTTGACTTTAATCACCTCCAAAAAACGATTTATTGGCTTTTAACACCTGCCTAAAAAAAATACCAACAAAATTTCCGAAAATTGGATTTTACTACCAACTAACGGGTTCCGTCCATGAATCCGTTAGAAGGGTCCACCTTTTTTACGTTTCCTCTTCATTTTCCCTGATCTTATATGTCAACCAACCGACAACGAAATCTACTTACCTTGGTTGGTGGGAATTTCGTGTAGGGCTAAGGAGGGGTCAGAATTTGATGTGGGCTAGAAAGTGGTCGGAATTAGGTGATGGCTAGGGTTTTAGCTAGGAGTGCGAAATTTGGTGGTGGCTAGGGTTTTAAGAGTGGTCGGAATTATGAGGGGGCTTTTATGGGTGGTCGGAATTTGGTGGCAAGAGGGTTTTGAGGTCGGAAATTGGTGGAAAAGGGGGTCGGAATCCGGTGGTTGTGGCTGCGCGATGGCTGTTGTGTGGTGAATCGGTGTTGGGGCTGGTAGCCGGTTCGACGATGGGGTTAGTAGCCGGCTTGGCGATGGCAACAGCTGCCGGTTGATGGCTGGATTTTTTTTATTAATATTTTTTTATTTAAAAAATCTACCCAATAATATGGTGACACGTTTACATGGTAGACTCCACTAACGGATTTATGGACGGAATCTGTTAGTTGGAAATAATTGGTGGTTTTTTTTTTTTTTTTTTTTTTTTGTATGTGGTGGTAAAATAAACTTTTTTTTTTATTTTTTATGTAGGTGGTAAAAGCCAATAAGTGGTTTTTTGAAGGTGGTAAAAGTCAAAATTTTCATAAAATAACCACACAACATAACATTAATCCTAAGTAAAATGTATAAAAAATATCATTTGTCTTCTTTAATTAACTCTTTAATTAAATTGCGTGTCATAGGACTATAGGTCAAGTAAATTCAAACGGAGGAAGTATAATTTAACTTATATGAACTTAACCCATTCAAAATTATTAAGTACCAAGCAAGTTTGGTGGAGAACTCAATTTGTAACTTTAGTAATGACCTGCATAGTTAAGGTAGCTAAAATTATAATTATTTATGTGAGAGATGTTAATTCAGTAGGGTCTTTCTTCTCTCTATAAAAAAAAAATAAATAAAGGATTTTTTTTTTTACTTTTACCATAAAAAAAAGTTTTTACTATAAAACTTCTAAAACTTTTATTTGACGATAAAAAAGTTCAAAAAATTGTTTTTTTATCACCTACTATCAGGAAAACCGTTAAATCTAATGATTTAAAAAAAACTTCTCTGATTTCCGTGCGCAAAATATGTTCTTCATAGGTGTTGGGGGGGCATTATGATCCTTTGGGACCAATTTGAGGTCAGAATTTTGTTTAGCGTATTTCACTTAAATCGAGGTACTTTTAAGTAGGGAAAACAAGCCATTTACGATGATTTTTTGTCAATTCTCTCAAATTGGTCCCAAAGAACCAAAATGCTCCCCAAAACTTCTAAAGACCATGTGTTTGGCACAAAATCGAAGAATTTAAAAATTTTCGTTATGTTTACTAGTTATTTCGACAGCAAGTGGTAAAAAACAATTTTTTTTTTTTGAAAGTTTAGAAATTTTGGAGGTAGAAAATAATTTATTTATAATTTTTTCTGTGGTAAAACTCAAAAAAACCAAAAATAACTAAAAATAAACCAATCCAAAATTATTATTTCTATAAGCTGAGGTAGACGAAACTTGTTTGTTTTATACAAATATTTTTTTTGAAAGATTTTTTTTTTTTTTAAAGAAGTTTGTTTTATATAAATAAAATATAAATAAAAGTTTTTTTTTTTTAAAAAAAAAAATTTAACCGGAAAAATAAGGCACAGTTAAACGAATGGTACATTTATAAATTACGGAGTATAATTCTTGGATTCAAATAGCTAATTGTACTTTATTACTCCATATGTATTTATGTTCCCCTTTATATATATACTAGTTTTGTGCCCCGTGCGATGATCGGGTTGTTTATTGAATTTTAAGATAAATTTTTAATCTATGTCAAATTTTAAAA